TTAGAATTTCATGGAGATACGCTGGTACCTGGCGGTACGCCAGTTCTCGGACACCCTGTATATATATATATATATAAATTTGTACTGTAAAATTCATGGTTTTTATAGGCTAAAATTCTTATTTTCTGTTCCCTATTGCTTTTATTCTGCGCAGCCCCTTACTGTCCGGAAACTTTTCAAGGGGAATATATGTTTATAAATTATAAGGAAAAAGTATGACCGAAATTCCGACGTGAATGTAAACACATGTGATACACGCGTGACGAGTCGTTCGTCATTGTCTCTAGTTGTTTTCTTTTCCTTCTCCTCTGCATTCCTTGGGCTCCGTGTATTACGATTCTCTTTAGATGTTTTCGAATTCGGATCGCGCTACATAATCGTTGTATGTTCTTCTTCGCGTGCCATATGCCTAGTTTACACTGTTAAATTAATTGATACGAGTATCAAGTTGGTGCTGACTAAGTACTTGATACCGATTTTATACTTAGTACGCGTATCAAGTGCTCAGTGTAAACTAGGCCATATGCTTGTCCTGCACATAGACGATCTCTTTTACGTATATATATGTATGTACATATATATATATATATATATATATATATATATATATATACACACATGAATTTTTCGGCTTACAGATCAAAATGGATAATCAAGTTGTTTATGATGAAAATATGGCAGAAGAATTAAAGCGTATTCGTGATTATTTAATACCTTTGAAAGGTGACTTGATTAAAATAGAAGTGGGACTGTAAGTATGAGTGAAATAATTACAGTTTTCATTTCTACTCACGTCAAATAATTATTAAATTTTTAACGAATTTTTACAGTGCGGAAGGTACGAATATTAAGCATTTCTTGTACAGTTCTCAAGAGAGGGCACTAAATGCCCTTAAAGACGTAGAAAAGATGCTGTACAACATGAATGTGTAAGTATTCTTATTTCTTAATTCTAACTTTCACTATTGTGTTTCACTATAATAACAAATCACTTTGTCTTTACAGGAACATAAGTGTACCTCAAGTTGCTCTTGGACCTTTACGAGTCAATGTCCAAAGACATCAGCATTTTCAGTAAAACTGTATGCAACTAAATTAGTAAGTATTAATACAGCATAAAATCAAACATATATTTTGGTCTACAGTTCTCATTTTACGAATATCTTGCATTAATTATATCTTTTCCATTTTTTGCTTATTAATATCTTATCTTTTTCAGATAGTTTTATGATGATAGCATATGATGATGATGGCCTTTGAAACATACTTTTCCATTTTCTTTTTGGCGTGGATTCCGGCAGCCACTTCTGGCAGCAGAACTGAGATTAAAGGATTCCACGCATTTAATCGCGAAAAGATGTACAAAATTACATAAATATATAATTATATCTATCGAAGTATTATAACATATATAAATCAATATAGTCTCACATTTCTTGTCCGAATCCCAGATTTCTACCAGTCTGTCCTTGGACACGACTCCCTGCGACCGTAGCGTTTGTACTATCGCTTGACGCTTGCGTGGTATCAGTCTGTGGGGAGAAATCGCAGAATTAGATTGTCGTAATTTATTCGATGAATCAGAGTGAAATCGAAAGCAAGATAGGACAACTTGATAATTTACTTGACCCACGACTTGATGATGCTACCAGATGTCGTCAGCAGCGACGGGACAAATCGTTTCAGCTTAGAGCACACTTGACCCTCCAGGAAGAAATACGCGAACCACTTGACATCGTTCACTGTCAACGGGTGCTCGATGTCCATCGGTGGTAGTGGCCATCCAGCTTTTCCGGAAGTACTGGACACACGGCAAATGAGCTTTCCGGTTCTTTGATTGTACCTGTAAATAAAAGTTTTTTAATATATTCGATTACATAATAAAGACTATTATTTTTAGAAAGTGAAAAAGAAATTATAAAATAATTATATAACAAGGTGAAAATACCTTGGCGATGGATCAGCCAATGGCGCGCGACGAGACGGCACAACGTGGACGCGAATTTCGGCAGCCACTCGATCGCCGTGACGCCTCGCATGTTATATCTTATTCGTTTCGTAAACCTCTTGATAAATCACCCATTCCGGGCTGGTTTTCCGTAGAACGTACGAG